CTGCCTTACCCCCAAAAGCTGGGCCAGCCTTTGGCTATGACAGAAAGGTGATGGAAATCAGGTAAGAGACCTATGAGGAATCCATGAGCATCAAGATGCCTCAGTGAGTAAGTAGTACAATAAATTGAAAATCTGCTGGTAACAGTTCTGAGCATTTCTACAAATTAATGCAATTTGTCAGTCACCAGAGCTGTTGATGAGATAGTGCTCAAATGAGACTGAGTTAAATGCACTGCCTGAACTATGGCATTGGTCAATCATAACTTCTCATGTCGAGACTCTTGAGCTTCAGCACAAAAGGTTTGAGCTGAAGTGGTTTTGTTCACACTTGTGAAGGACTTAGATGCTCACTAGGGCTCAGCTAACACAGGGTCGTTTGCCCAAAATTTTGGATTTATCAACTCCTTGATGTCTTGTAGGATTTCATCCAGTGCCTTTTCATCATCAGAGAGTAGCTAAAGCAGAGGGAAAGAATGGATGAGAACTGAGGAAAAACTCCATTAGTAGTCAAGGACTCTTGCCCCAAGGATGGGGCAACCTGTGCCAGTGCCTCACCATCCTCACAGGGAAGAATTTCTTTTTAATATCCAACCTGAACATAATCTCTTTTGGTTTGAAGTCATTCCCCCTTGTCCTGTCAGTACGTGCCCTCATATAAACATGAAAGGTGTACACATACTCCTGGTTCCCTCCCAAAGAGGACACAGGTTTGGCAGCTGGGAGAGGGAAGCTCATATAGTGGCTTTTCACACTGCTTTTACCTTTCCCACTACATGATTCAGAACCCGACAGAAACAAGCTGCATCTGAAAGCAGATGGAAACAGCCAACTCTGAACTGTGCCAGGGAAGCTGAGGAGTTTTAGGATCAGGGTAACACTGGGACACATGTATGAGGATGTCCCTTCTCCCAGTGAGTGACACACCCAGAGAAACAGCTGAATGACAGCACTGATGGGAGTAACTGTGACTCTACCACGGTCCTACTGATACTCAGACAAAGAGCTTCTGCCAAGTCACTGCTTCCTTAGATTCTTGACAAGCTGCAATGTCACACGGATAAGAGACACCCTGAAATCCAAGGGCAAGATCTTGTCCTCCAACACACCCCACAGCAGCCCACCACAACCTAAACCACGCACCGGTCTGTTCTGCTCAGCCTGGGCTTTACTGAGCCAAGGCTCCCTCCCTTGGGTCAAGAAAGATGGATGAGATCATGCTTTTTAGGCAGATTAAGCTTGCATTGCCTGTGGTTTGCCAAACATCATTTTTCAGTCTGCTGCCAATGCCCTATTGCTTACAAAGCAAAACATTCCTCCCTTCCAAGCGCCCTTAAGCATCCCCTATGTACAAAGAAGTGTAAAGCTATTCCCTGCTAAGTCAATTAAAGCCAGGAGAGCTTCTTTTCTTAATCATGGATCACAGAGCATCCCTGCCAGCCTGGCATCCTTTGGAAGGATGGTTCTAAGAAGTTCTCATTTAGCAACTCTCCTATTTATTAATCCCAAAACATCTTTCCCTCAGATCTCTTGGCCCACACTCAGACAGGACAGCCAGTCTGTTCATCCAGCCACATCAGGCAGCACAGCCACCGACCAGAAGAGACCAAGGGAGAGACCTTGCTGTGTTGTCCCAGCTCTGTCTTTCCACTGCCCTGGGCTCCTTATCCCTTCTTTGCCTACCTTCCAGCACCCATCAAACTGACAGGGTGGTCTGTCAGGTATCTGAATTTGCTCAAGCGATTAGGATAATGCCAAAGCTGATCTCACGTTTGCAGGCAGCTCTGCAGACAAGGCACACGTGGCTGTCACTATTGAGAAAGAAACGTGTCAGGGAGTGGGAGAGGTCAGGGTGACTATCTAAACAAGCTCTGTGTGTTATTTCTTGAGGTTAAAGAGACCAGTGTGGACAAAATAGCCTCAGCAAGAGATTGACACCAGCACAGGGCATTTCTGAGCATGTTTGCAGGGACTGGAAGGTAGCCCTTCAAATCTGAATCAAATGGTGTAGCCAGCAAAGTGATGCAATATAGGATAAATTTATCTTAGGAGGTCAGCAAACGTTTTGTCCAGGGAACAAACACATGACCTAGAGAAGACTATTCTACACAGAAAAAGACAGGAGATGGAAATACTCGCCCCAAAAACCTCCTGGGGCTCTGGTGGTTAGTGGGGACTGTAAGTACCCTGGGCTGTGGAGAGAAGCACTGGCACAGATCAGGCTTTGGAAACCTCTTCTGGAACAAAACTGCTCTAGAGGGAGAAAGAAAAGGCCTGATGTGGTGAAGCACGCTGGAGGTATCCCACAGCTTGGGGAGTTCTGGAGAATAACACATCAGAACCACTTCAACAGCATTGACTCTGCTGGTGAAAGGGAAAGCAAAAGTGATGATAAAATACAGGGCTGAGAAAATCCATGGAAAAATTCCTGGTCCCTTACCCCAAAGAAGGATCTAAACCATGGGCAGCTAATCCCATGTTTGGTGGTTGTTAGGTCCTTGGTGAAGCCTAGGACAAGTAACTCGAAGCCAAATTTAGTCTATGTGTCTGTAAAGCCATTTTCCTTCTGGTGGACTGCTAGCAGTCAGCATCCTGCAGAGTTGAGAGTGCCCTAAACTGCCAGTAATTGCATAAATAAAGGCAATATGTAATGCAGGGAAAGATCCTGTTATTAAAGGGAAGCTGGAAGGATGGAGAGGCAGATGTAGAACCCCACAGCCTCCAGCCCAGACCGACCTGACAAGTCCTCACCAAATGGCTCTTCTCAGCTTCCTGCCATTGGCTTTTGGTAATGAACAGGCACTCCACTTGTAGGCATCATGAGTGGGGTTCTTTTAATGTTTAGTCAAGAAAATTTGCAGTAATGAATGGTCCACTAGCATAATTAAACCCACATTTATACTTCATAGGGTTAGGGTGTTTTTTTGCTATTATTTGTTGTGGAAACCCTCCTTACACCTGATACTCTATGCATCTGTTCAGGAGCCCCCAGTGCTTTGCTGCACCTTCCTAAGGGGCACTTCCTTGGTTTCCACCTACAAACTACCTGAAGCACAACTACTTCTTTCAGAGATCTTACTGGGCCAGGGATTTAATGGTATTTGTCACCAATTCTTACCACTTTTTCTTCTTGGAGGTGTATCTTACTAATGAAAAAAAATTCCATTAGTGTCATAATCCCCATGAATTCTCTCCTGAAGCCTTTCTTGCCCACCAACCTTGCCAAATGTGTAAACTTTTAAAAATGCTTCTGCTACGAAGACTTTTTTACTTCCTTATCAGCTCTATCCCCATACTGTGGGTTTTAATGATGTTAATTACATTTCTTTGCCTTCAGATGCATGTTGGTGGGTGTAGGTATAATCTAGGAGTAATCCTGACAGATAGTTTCTTGTCTTGCTGTTCAAATGGCTTCTTGGAAAGAAATATAAAAAATTGCAAAAAAATCTTGACACAAGTTTTGTTTTCCATCTCACGCCTCTTTGGCAGTACTTAATATTCCCACCAGAAAGAATGGGAAGATTAATGGCCTTGTTCTGTAGCTGTTACAGCTTAAGGACACAGACAGGACTTTGGAGCATGTGGTACACAGCTGGAAAAATATCACATTAAGTCCTTGGCTCACAAACACTTTTCAGGTCCAAAGTTAATGCAGAAGTCACCAACACAATACGCATTTGGCAGCTGCTCCAATTTGATGTGTATTAAAGCAGGAGAGGTGAGAAGCCCTGGTCTGTGCCCAGAGCTATTGTCTCCCTGTGCTTCTGTCCCACACCTCAAGGATATCCTTTCCCTTCTCAGCAATGCAATGGCTGATACAAATTGTAGAAAACCCCATCTTCCCTTCTCACCTGGTATTTTACCTTGGACATTTCATGCTGGTTTCCAGGACCTCCAAATGGGCTTGTGTAAAAGTTTCTCCCCACAAACCCAGCCAAGATCTCTCCTCTGACATCCCATGATCCTGCCCGGTGCCTCTAAGCCTGGGTCTGATAATGGCATGAATGTCTCCATCCCTCTCCCCCCTCCCTGTCCTTGGAAAGTAAGAAGACACTTGCAGCCCCACCCAGGACACAGCTGTGGGCCCAGGCAGTTCCAGGCCTCCCTCCCTCCACAAGGCTCTTCCCAATATCTCCCCACAGCAGCCACCTTTCCCAGGAGAGAAGCCCCACACATCTTATTCTGCTCCCAATCCCATCCTCTGTGCCCTCTTGTAACTCCCCCCAAACCAGGAGCCCTCAGAGGAAAAACAGGCAAGGCAATTTCTTTTCCACCCCTAATAGCAAAATATATTTTAATTGCTGTCGCACAGTAGATTATAAACAGCTCTTGGACGTGACAGAACATGTACAGGTTGCATCGTGGAACAGCTGGTGCCAGCGCCAGGACCAATGCTGGGGTGTCCCCTGTCACAGCCAGGGAAGGGCCACCATGTCCGGGGGCACCAAGAGAAGGGACGAGCCGAGGCTGGCTTGGAGGTCCGTGGGGAGCAGGGCCTGATGCTGCAGAGCACAGGAACTCTTGGAATCTGCTGTCCCCTCTGGCACATCTGCATTCGGAAGCAGGAGCTCAACCAGCTCAGTTTGCCTCCAGCAGGTAGGCCGGGTGCAATCCATGTAATATCACATTGAACAAATCCAGCAGGAATTTCCCCAGCTCCCACCACAGCACACCCTGTACTTGGATGTCACAGGAGAGCACAGAGCTCACAGATCAGACCCAGGACTGCTTCACCCCCCAAAGCTGGCAGCCACACATCCCAACAGAAAGGACACACTAGGCATGAGGACTCCATAGAGCTTTGGTCTTCCCAGGAACAAATTGTTTTCTGCATGAAAACCAGGACGCATTTTGCTGTAGTAACACTGATTTTCGTGAGGTTATTGTGCAAGGAGCTGTACTGGCTGCCATTCCAAAGCTGGAGGCTTCCCACCTCACAATGGAGGGAGTTACCATGGAAGTGAGCTGCACAGCTCATGTTGGAAAGAACCACAGAAAACAGATTATATTACATTATATTAAGAGCTCGTAATGGGCAGGTTGGGAACCTTCACATCCTCACCACTGACCAAAACATTGCACTGCTCTGCTCAAGTGCTCTGGCACTTGCAGTTTAAGAAACTCAAATGTGGTATAACTGACTTTTAATTAAATAAGCAACGTGCAAAAGACTTAGTATTTCCTCTCCAGCACTCTTGAGAAAAATGAAAATAAGCCCACATTAAAAAGCAATTTAAAAAACCCACAAAATTGAAAGTAATCCAAGTTGTTAATGCCCTGACAGCACAGTTGCCAGATGCCTTGATCTACAAGGCTGAAAACCTCAACTTGTCAAAAATAAGGCTGGTTCCAACAGCTAAGCATCCCTTTCTGGTTGCCTTTTGCTTGCCAGATGCTCAAACCCTCAGGCTTCAAACAGTGATGATGCTGACACAGTAAATGCTGATATTCCTTCTGGGCACAGACAGCGCCAGGTGTGAGGGAAACACCGAAACAGGGCACAAAGTGCCATCCTTTGGCCTCTCTTTGAAAACACCGAAACTGTATCAAGACCTGCCAACTGTATCAAGATGGCAAACCAAATCCTTAACCCATCCCACTCTCTCTGAGTGCAGTTACCTTGGTAAGTGTTTCAAGAACCCAACAAAAAAGAATTGGATTGAATCTCGCCCTATACCAGGGAGGTGACAAAGCTGTTTGGCCAAAGGGTGCTTTTTTGTACATTTGACTGTTTTTTCAATCAATAAGGAAGCTTAGTTGTTCCAGAACTTCTGTTCTTTCCTCCCACAAAAGGTATGGTGAAATATTTCAGATTGAGTAATCTGATTGATTATAAAGTAATCCATTTAATTCTCAGGAAATTATACACGAATACTGCCAAATTTGAGCATATAGTTCCTCTGAAATTACTTCAATGGTTTCATCAAACAATTTTTAGCAGGAAGTGTTTTCAGAGGAGAACCCGACACAGAAACACTATTTGGCAAATTTGACCTGTTACAATGTCCTTTCTTAAGAGTATGATTCCTTCTTACTGAAGATTTGGAAGAGTTGAAGTATTCCCTAGCCTTCATGAAATTACTTCTGACTGAGATTAGTAAAAGCAGAAGCCCAAAGGTGAGTCTGAAGTGGTTTGGGAGACAAGTCCATCAATGGTCCCAATACTGCTATGAAGTCACAGTGCTGTAGGTAGTAAGGAAATGCTTGTTGTCCACTGGCAGTTTCTGATAACACTTGAGTAATTCTAAAATATTTGTCACCAAAGTTCTGGTATCTGTATCAGATGGTCCTTTTCACATAAGTTGTGTCCATCAGGTGACCCTGGCTCAAATAATGGGAGCTACTGTTCCAGTAAAACTGCAATGATCTGTACCCAGACACTCTGGAAGTTCCCTGTTCTGTTTAGCACCAGACAGAACAAAGGAGCTGAAAGAACTATGATTAATTGCTATGGAAACACCAAAAATCACCAAACGCCTTTATTGGTGTGTGTGGGAAGGTGTCCTACCTCTTCACCAAGAGGGCAGTCCCAGGGAGCTGATCTCCACCTGAAGCCCCTCTGATATCAGGGCAGACACAGGCAGGTGACAAAGCAGCTCTGGGCCAATCCTCATTCCTCAGCAGCACTAGAAACTTCTCCAGTACACACAGGCAAGGTGTGCTGGCACACTGAACTGCACGTGGCCATTTCAAATAAGATCATGCTCTGTACCTGTAAAGTTGATCCCATTTTCTTACAGTTGGGTCATAGTATTTCAAGTTTTTCTTAGTAAAGAAACCCTTAACAACCTGTATACCTTAAAGCACCCGCCAAATTTAAGCAAAAGCTCTTTTACAAGTTAATCATGTCAAAGGAACTGATTACCTAGAGCAGGAGAAAGGAAGAGCAAGAAGAAAAGGTACTCCTCAAGTCACAAGGGCCTTCAGAGAATAAAAATGCTGTAAGGCAGCTGGGAACTAAATGAATACAGAGAAAACAAATTTTTGGTGTAAAAAGTCATAAAGACTGCACACACCATGCCCTGCTTCTGAACCTGACTCAGCACAGTGACAATCCCTCTTCTCTGCCCATTTTATATGTGTTGGCAGCCAACATACACAGGATGCAGTTTGAAGCCAGCCAGGAAAACTTTGGCCATCTTCAGAGCAAGGAGGCAAACACCCTGATGCTCTGCCACTTGTCTGTGTCACAGTGGCAGGCAGAATCATGAAGAACAAAAGTTTTGCAGACATCCCATTACCAAAAAGGAGAAAAAAACTGCAAGGGAATGGCTAAGAAAGATGGACGGATACCAACAATGAGCTACCAGCAAATCTGACTAGCTTGCCTCTTGTCCAGAAAAGCAGCATTTGGGGGGACCCCTGGATGAGTAGGATTCCAGTAGACTCCACCTTCAGCTCAACGTTTTACTGGCATGGAAATGGCTCAAAGTGGGACAGCATGTAATAGATGCTGCCTTTGAAGTCTGTTGCAATCCAGGTCAACTGGTTTGCTCCAGCAATGTTTAAAAAAATTACTGTTTCTCCCCAATAATCAGGAGGCACAACTTCCCTTAGAAAAAGTCTGTAGTGAGTTAGATCATTGGTCCAAATACTTGGAGGACATCTCTGTTTTTCTGTTATGACATGGTCAGAGCACCCCATTTTCACATCTTCGTATGACACGACCATGAGCGTGGCTTTAAATAGTCCAGGAATGTGGGCTGCAAAACATGGAGAGGCAGTAAATTAGTCACAGGCCAACAGCATCAGCTGTGGTACCAGCTGCTGAAGTCAAACTTCTCTAAGAGGAAAGATCAAACCACTTTTCTGCACCCTACAACCCTGTTCTTGCCCTCACTAAGCAGCGCCTGGAACAGCCACAAGTTCTGTTACATCAGGTAAACACTGTGCCTAGCAGCCTGTTGTATCAAGAAGCCAAATAATTTACCATGGCAAACTCTTAATTGAGAAGAATCAAAACAGAGGCCCAAAGGATACCTTTGGTTAAAACTGAAATCAACTGGGACAGCAGGAGGTTTTATCTAGAACAGAATCCAGTACCAAGAAAATGAGTTAGAGAAAATTACTTTTCACCACCACCCACTCTAGCCTGGGAGAGGCACAACAGGCACAGTTTTCGTGGGCCTTTACAAAAGGTTCTTCTGACTTCACTAAGTGCTGCAGCTCCCCTGCCACAGCCTAAATGAGGTCTAGTATATCCTCAGCAATGGGGTAACACCACCCTCAGTTTCAAGCAGTGAAATACTACCAGCACAGGAGGAGCACTACTGAAAGCACTTCTGTTAGGCAGCCTCTAGGCTAAGTAACTCCTAAGGAATGGATGTAGCACACTGCCAGAAAGGCTCGTGCCATTTAACTTCTACTCTTCCTGCACAGCAGAACAGGACAGCCACTGCCACAGTTGGTTACCCCACAGGAAGGCCAGGCACTCACATTTTCTGTGGGGCAGTACTGGCGGGCATACCACTCCTGGCTGTAGAGGCAGATGATGACACCTTGGCCCAGGAAGAGGGAAGTCCACATGATCACATTCCAGAAGGGCCCTTTCCGACGGTCATTTAGGGTGAAGTTGAAGACCACTGAAAACGAGAGAAATGAGAAGCATTATTCAGAAACAAACCCAAGATTCAAGAATCAAAGATGAACTGATTTTACTGGATCTTCCACTCCTTTCACTTCATCTCCAGAGCAACAAGGCTACAGCATGAAAATCTGATTGTGCTTGGCAATAGAGCAAATACTCTGAGCTGATTCTGACATTTACTTCCAATAAGTTTGCCAGCAAGCTGTGTGCCTCTGGGGATCAACATCATTTGTGCTACACTGGTCACCAAGGCATGGCAGGGGTAGCCTAGAGTTTATTAAAGCCTTCTAACTCAAAGCACAAAAAGAAATGCAAGAGCTCTGACTATAAATGGGCTATTCCCCACTGCAGTAGTGAAGTAATAATTGCCTTATACTGGGACTTTATAGAGGAAGACTGACAAGCTGCTGACACACAGTGATTCAACTACAGCTTAGCAAAGAGGAAGCAGTGCTGTTAAACTCTCTGCAGTGTCACAGGAACAGCAGTATATCACATAGAACTCTCTTCCTCGCCACCAAGACCTTGATCATCTAAGCCCCAAGCTTCCAAATTCTCTGTGTGCACATAGGTGTGTATTTACTGAGCTGCAAAAATCCATGCGCAAAGCTTGGATTCACAATTGCAACCCTTGGGCAGCAGTACTGTGTGTTAGTGCTGAAGGAACAGCTGGCATTATCAAAAGCACAAAGCATGCTTCTCTAAAAAAAGCCACCAACCCCACAGCCACTCCCACACTCTCTTCCTTGGAACTTACCTCCAAAGCATGAAAACAGGCAGAAGAGAACTGGATAGAAGAAGCCGAAGCAGATGCTGAGGACATACTCATGCACGGCAGCTGACACAGTGAAGACAGACAGCATGGCTGCTGCTCTGAACTTCTTACCAAAAAACTGGGAGAGAGAAGAATGCCAATATTAGGAGCTACTCTGCTGTGGTTTTTGTTTGGATGTTGCAACACACTGGATTTTCTTCCCTGAGCTAAGAAGGCTCTCCTCCAGCCAAGAGGCACATGTGAAATGCCAAGTGCCTTACAGAGCACCTTGGGGTTTAGGTGTTTCTCTTCAGGTGTATTTCTGGTTCTCTGCATTAGTACTTGTGCTGAGCCCACTCATTTTAAATACCTACCACAGCTCATGGAAACAGTACAACATGAGTTCTGACTGCTGAGGCAGTCCCTGCATTTCTACATCTCAGCCCCACATTTTGCACACACAGAAATGAGCAATAGATCTCTAAAACACACACAGTGGCTCCCCACAACAGCTGAAGTGAAACATTTTTGTGCTTCTACACAGACAGGGATGCTGCATCTTGACGAATACACCGTTCTGCCCAGTAGTTGAATGTTTAATTAACAAAAGAATACATCTGCTTGTTACTCACCCAAAGGAAGTCCCTGTAGGCATAGTAATAGAGCCAGTCATGTACTACCACGTTCCAGGTTCTGTAGTAGTTTGCATAGGATGTGGAATTCCACCAGTCCTGAAAGCACAATTGAAAGACTTAAATCTAATTAACTATAAAACATTCTAGAGGGCTTTTCTAAGATATCAAATTGAAAAATATTGAACAAAATAATACCAAGCTAACATAACAATTTGACCAAGCTTTCCACTACACTTTCAACATTCTTCTTGGAGTATCAAGGTCTGGTTTTAATCCAATCTGCAGTGGCCCAAGTGATAAAAGAACAAAATTGAGGGCTAATGGAGCTATTGGGTAGGTCTGGTGGCTGGTTCTGTTTGTGCACAGGGTGTTTCACCTTAAAACAACTCAGACTGCCAAGCAGAAATCAAATCTATTCTACAGCACAGCAACAAACTTAAGTTTTAACACCATAACCCAAAAGCAAAATCCCATGGTTGATTTGTTTGGTAAAACAACCTTCAGTTTCCTCCTCTTTTTTTTTTTCTTTATGACAATGATTTTCAGAAGATTTATAAACTACAGATCCTGCTTCTCACCTTGTAGAACATCCTGTCTGCAAAGCGCAGCATCTCAGCAAACGCATTGAGCCAACAGTGAAGGAAGGCAAAGAACACCAAGAAGAGAATCAGCACACCTGGAAACAAGGGACAGCCACACCAGTTTTGTGGTGTTCTCTCTCAGTCACAAGCAAGAGCACCTAACACAGTCAAAAACTGTTCTTATAGGCACTGACACAGATGAGCTCTACTGTTTTGTACAGGTAGCACAACACTATTTCAGTTTCTCACTACACCAGGCCCTGCTTGCCCCAGAGGGCAACACCAAGGCTGCCCCAGAGCCTGCAACTTGAAGACAGTTAAATTCAAACCCAGCTTTTATTTTGTATTGCTGATTTTGGAGCTTTATCCCTTAATGGCACAGTCTGCCCACAAGATCTCCTTTGTTGATCTCTGCCTGTCATGAATGCATCTCAAATTCAGCACTTCTCCCTTCCACCTCTTCCACAAAGATAAAAGTCACTCATGGATCTGGGCCTTACCTGGCAGGATGGAGTTGAAGATGCAGAGGACCAGCCCTCGAAGGTTGAAGGTTTCCTGGCTACTGTTGCGAAACTGAGGAATGCAGAGTCTCACAAAGATGTAGTAGGCATAGAAAAGTGAACCAAGCACCTGGAACAAAAATACCCCAAAACCTGACTTCATAACAGGAACACACAATTAACACATCACCACTTGCCAGCTCTAGGAGAGAAAAGCAGCTGCCAACAAAAGACAAAATAATTTATTTTACATTGCTGCCAATAAACCCCCCTAAGGATCCAGGCAGAAAGAAAGCCACAGCAATCCCTGGAGCATGCTGACAGCCAGCAGCAAAATCAACTTCTCTTTTCTACTACAACAGCTGCCAGTTTTTCCCAGTCCTATCAACTCACACGTTTTGACACAAAACATCCATGTCACTGCCAAAGTGGGGAAAGTACCCTTCATCTACATCCAAGATAAGGGCAGAAATAATTGCAAAATACTTACTGTAGTAAAATCTAATATTAAACCTTATATTTATTTTATTCCAAAGGAGATGTTTACAGGTCAAAGCATCTTAGGGTTTCTCTGGCTCATGAACTGATGCTTTGGATCTTGAGGTCAAAATGCCAATCATTGTTGAAACACTGATATAAGGTAGGTGTGTGCTCTGTCATCCTTTTTGTCCAACAGCAAGCACCCAAAGGCCTGCTCATGCTGCCTTTTTTAAAATTGTTTTGCTCTTTAAATCCTAAGTGCATTGTGTGACAGCAAAGGTTTCAGTCACACAAATCCATTACTTGAAAACACATCCACAAGAAGCTACTGAAGCTCATGGCTACAAATGTGAATAAGGAATCAATCTTGAATTCAAATAAGCACTGAGGATTTGGACTCCAGGCCTCATTATTTCAAAATCTGAACATCTGCAGCTGTGCCAATGCACTACAATCAGGGTGAAGAAAGAGGGCATGGGTGTTGCTCTCACAACACAGTTTTGTTTTTTTTTTATCTGGAGGCTAAAGTAATCTTTAAGTAAAAAAGTAATTTAAGTAATCTTTAATTTAAAAATCTTTAAGTAAAGATTTTTTTTTTCTCTTTCTTGGGCACAACCATTAGTGCAGCAAGATCAGTTTATTTATTAGTCACTGAAAAGTATTCCTTATTGATAAGTCCATACCAAGTAGAGTGTTTTAATGTCAAAGAGAGCTGTTGAGCTACACATCTTAGATGATCTATAAGAGTGTATTCTGCAGAAAGCTGCATCACTCACCTGTGCAAACTTGGTAGCTACATAGCCCCATCTTATTGTGGGATTCCTAGGAAAAAGAACAGGATATAGCTAAACTGGACCTCAAAACATCAAACCCCTCCCTCCAATTACTTTAAGGATTTTACAACTTCACTGGCATATTCTCTAAAAAGAAAAAAAAAAAAAAGAAAAAGGCTTTTAAATTCCAGAATTCTTAATCTCCTGGCATCCAAATGATGTCTGCCCAAATTGCTGGTTCCTCACTTTCAACTACAGCAGAACTCTAGAAATTCCAAAAATGGAAAGGTATCTGGAGGGCAGTATGGTTCCATAGGAGGTGGGGACAGCTGACTTCACACTGCCAAAGTGCAACCCAGCAATGAACAGAAGAGTTTGGGAGTTGCCACTTTTAATGGCATTAGCCTCAAACTCAGAGACAGGGCTGCTTATTAGTAGCTCCTAAAACACACAGGTTCCTATTGCAGGAACTATCACTACACACTCTGTAGCAAGTTCTTAAACTTCAAGTTAGTTTCCCAAAGAACTAAAAGCAGAACTCCATGAGCAAGTCTTGCCCTTGCCAGCTTAACCACATCTTTATAAAAGCCCTAACTCATAAACTGACCACACCCAGGGGTGCTTAATGTTGCCTTCAGTTTTCAGACTACTTTAGTGTTCTGTTGCTGCTCACATTACCTGGGGTAGTTGTCTCTGTAGATGAGGGTGGGAGCAAACAGGAAGTACAGGTACTGAGAAATTCTGGGAATATGTACTGTGCCTGGGAAGAGGGGGAAACAAAAAACAAAAGAACACTTTGCAATCTTTTTACTGGCAGCTCAGTTTCCCCAGTACCCTTAAACAGCACAGAACCCTTCTCACCTCAGAACCCTCAGTCTGGAGGTGAAGGTGTGGGATTTGCAGAGAATAAAACAAACTTGACCTTTCAGATGGTGTGCATGAAAGACAGTTAACAAGTGAGGGTAACCAACTACCTGCTAACACCTTGGTATCACATTTCCTATCAACACTGGGCTAAGTCATGAGCATGCCTTGCTTAAAAGACCTTTTGTTCTATGATTGCTGTCACTTCAACTAGAGCACTGAGCTGGAGGTCTGCAGGCAACACCTAGACACCTTTTACTCCTAAAAGCAGAAATACGGAATCCTGGAGAACAAAGACACAGAGAGGACTTAGACCTGATCAACAGTCTAGCTTGTTGTCTAACACAACTGAACACAAATGAAAAGGTTCAGGCCGAAATAATGATGCAAAATCTTTGACCTACCCATCCAAAGTTACCTATTCAAATCCCACCTTTCTAGGTCATGAGGGCAGCTCAAAAGAACGGAAGGAAAGCTAGAGCTGGCTATGTAAAATGAAGTAGGGCAAGTTACTCACCAGCCTTGTCCTTCACTGAGGACAGGACTCTGGGTACATTCTCCCGGATGAAGGAATGAGCCTTCATAACAAGACGAACCTGTAAGGCCAAGAGAAGAGCAGCTTAGTGCTCTCCTTTTCACAACTTTCCTGTGAAGACTGGATCAAGCATTTTACAGCAACACCTTCAGCATCTTGGTTTCTTTCCCATTTTGCCCTTTTACAAGGAAAGGGATGCTTCCTCTGCCCACAAGCCTGTTTAACTGATGTGAATTCCAAACTCTGCAAGGGGAAACATGCAGCAGCAACCACGGCTCAGAAGAGTCAAAACACATCTCATCTACACCTGCACCACGTACATAGGTACACAAGGACTCTGAATAACACCAGCCAGTCGCTAATCAGCTAATTAACCTAAAACTGAAAGGAAACTGCTCTCCATTTCAGCAGGCCAGGATGTTTCAAAGTCTAGATGACTCCTTGAAGTTACATGTGTTCTACAGCAATTATCACTACCTGGGTAAAGGTCGTGTCCCACATAAATAGTCCACAGTTGTCAAGCAGCTTTTTCTTTGAATTGTGTTTTAATACTGAAGAACCAAAAGTAGGGGCAGTCCAAAGCTAATTCTTAAAACTCATCCCTGACCATCCTTGTTTAAACCTGATGGTCTGACCAGACCTCCACTCTTGTACTCTTCCCCTGCTCCCCACCACAAAAAAAATTCTATTTCTAAACAAGTTCTGATTACAGAGCTAAGACACTTGCTTCTTGAGAACAGAAATGCCAACAGGAACCACTTCTTGACCATGTACTTGCTTTTTTTGGGTTTTGTTTCTTAAAGAGGAACAGCTTCCTGGTGCACTATGGCATAACATGTTCTTAAAATTGGTTTTAAGCACTTAGCATCCACAAGACAGCCAGAAATAAATGGAATTTCAGTAAAACCCACAGTAAAATCTTAAATGTTGAAGTTTATTCTCTACTCTTTCTTATTAGATTTGCTGCATGCAACCATCCTGAAGTCTCAGAGATACTACATCCACGGCCTTGGCTTAATTTAATGAATAAAAGCAACATTTGACTCCTTTAGGAAAAAGGACCCTTTCCACTTTGAAAACAAAATTGAATGTATCCTAGGATACAGAGGACACAGGGTAGGGACTTACCTGTTCCAGGATCACAATGAAGCGGGAAGCTGGAGGCAGGGCATAGGATACAGCAACATAAGTTGGTCCAAACCCAAGCCCAGCTATTTGGAAGAGTGTGAACAGCATGCCATAGAAGAAAGAATGGATTGCACGATGGGAGGAACTGGAATAGCCTTGGGCCCACCAGACAAAAAGGTTGTATGGAACAACTACTGTGGCACTGAACATGCACAGCCAAGTACAGAAGACAACTGGGAACTTTCCAAAAACAAAGACCAGGAGATCAAATCCAAGGACCAGCCTAGAAGGCACAAGGAAAGAGAATTTTTGAGATTCCATTCTTTGATTAGAAATACTTCTACTCCACTCAGTGGCTACAAAACACAAAGTTTCCAGATCATAACTGTTTGACAGTCTGGATAAAAGTGACTGTGGCAATTTCACCTTAGGACTGTCTGTGGCACCCTCAAGTATCCCAGAACATAAGAGCAGGACTGATGCCATCAGTGCTGTCAGGCACAGCTTACCTTCAAATCCCACAAAGCTTAAGCACATCTCTAAGATCAGCATGTGCTTTAAGAGCAGGCTCAAGCTCATCCCTCCTAAGAAGAAGCATGTGACTGAGCAATCCACTGCTGAAACAGGTTCTGTGAGAGCTTTTGGGGAACACTCCCAAGACATCATCACTACTCCATTGAAACTCAGCTCTTCCCAGGGGCTTAAGCCTAAAGAGGCTTTTTCCCTGACTCTACAGGCATGGGGAATTTTAACATCCAGCACTCAAACCTAGTTTAATCCTTTTTTGCGGGCATTCCACATGGATTCAGTTTAGAAGTTACACATAAGGCTCAGGGTCATTAGAAGGTCAGCCCAAATATGACCAACTGCTGTGCACCAGGTGCTTTAGTCCACTAATCAAGCTTAAAACATAAGGACATAAACAAAAGGCTGATCAACTTGACTGCCCCTCACACCCATCAGAGCTTGCTCCTACAGTAAGCAGCTCTTCTAAACTAAGACCAGAGAAGATGACAGTACAGAATACACCAGCAAAAGTTATTCCTTCTCAGGTGGAGGCTCAATTGCAAACTGGATCCAAATTATCAGACCTAGCTAAAACAACAGCTTATTTTTAAAGTAATCAGGGTATCCAGCCCTAGTTGATTTTAAGGTAAATACCCATTCTCCCCCAAGGTCCATACACCAGTATATTAGGATCAGATAAACAACATGCAATAACACACGAGCCTGTTCTTGTATCCAGATTAAAGGGACAGTGGTTATAATGAAGATACAGCTCTGGTTTTGTACACTGAAGAGCAGATAATCAGCAAGATAAACATGTAATCCTACTTGTGTACATGAGATACAGCTTGCCAAAATACTATTTAAGCAACAAGTAAGAGTGAGGAAAACAGTCTTTCACAATCTTGTTCACAACTGGCTACCTGCAAAGCACTATCTTAGCAGAGGCTCTGCCAACATCCTTGAGATTTTTCCCCAGGAAAAACAAAGTACTATTTTAAGTTAAGTACAAGTACAGTGTTCCAGAACTGTCATTTTTAAACAGAGGAAGGACAGCTGAAGTATTTAAAGTTTTTCTAAGCAGAGTCCTTCTTCAAGCAACACAAGCAGCTGAAAGCTGCTGTCTCATAAAATACACTCAACCAAAGTATTCCACATTCCCTTTTGCCAGCCTCGTGATGAGCTAAGCACGTTAGGCTGAACAGTGTGGCCACAACTCTCACATAACACATCGGTTAGCAATGTTTTCCTAATATCCAGCTTTCCAATTCGACATGGTCATACCCTCTCAACAGGAATTCCAGTATGTATTCTAAGTATGCCAAGTTGGAAGTATGGGTTTCAATAACACCCCCTTCTTTCTGAACCAATCTGCAGTTCCATGTGAATCTGGCACTCTGGAAGAGCTGTTCCCAGCCCTTATCCCTGTCCTTCCATGGCACTCTTACCTTCCTTCATCAATGAAGTCTACTAGAAGTGTACTGAGGATGAAGACAATGAGAAGAGCGATGAACATGTGGTAGATTGTCCTGATGTGACTCACTTCAAACAGCTCACTAAGGGAAAGATCAGAGTTAAGGCACAATTGGGAGGCCACAGACACAGACACTTCCTCAGCTTATCCTCAGACAAAGGGTAATTAGCCATGATCCCAGTGGTACTGAGAGGGCTATAATTAATGTTTGTATTTCCAAGATGTAGTACAGATATTTTAGAAAGAGAAGCTTGTACAGATTAATCCCCATGGATTTGAACATAAGACTGTGGATGGTGGCAGGGAAAGTACTTCAAAGAAAAGGCTCATTAGTTTGCTATCAAGGGTATTTTCAGTGAATTTGATGAAATTACTTTGATGAAGTTAAGTTACTCACTCCAAGAGGGACCTCCTGGCAGTAAAGATTTTCCCATGTTCTGGAGGGGCTCTCGAAGTCCTGCAAACAAAGTAGAGAACATTTGAGACAAAAAAGGAAATAAAGCTTCCAGGAAACACAACCTTGTTATAGCAACAGCTTAAAAGGGACTTACTTGGCTTTGTGCAGTTCCTTTTCTGCACAGGAAGCTGGGAAAAGGGAGGCTGGAGATGAGGAATCCAGGAGTGCTGATTTTGCCACCAAACTGTTCACAAACTCTGTGAAGTGACTGTCCACCTCCTTCATGAAAGCTGGCTTCAGTTGCTGACAGAGCAAAAACACAGCAGCAAATTGTTTAACTTGCTGGATATATTTTCATAAAGTATTTATATTCATTTTTATCCTGGAGCAGGACAGAGTAAAGCATCACAAAAACATTTCTGTACCATGTGCCAACAGTTGCAGCCTACTTGGATAAAGACCAGGGCTTATCCTGGCTTGTTCACACACCTCAGGCCAGAGGACTCTGAATATCATTTATCTTCTCCATCAGATTCAACACAGAATTACTCTGGCCTTTTAGAAGACTTATCAGAACTCTGAGAATTTAGTTCCTGAAGGTTTAGTCCTCAAACACTAAATGTGATGAGCCTAGTGATGAAGCACAGCTGAGAGCCAACCCCTAAGCTCCTGAACACAGCCAGACAGTCACCACCTTCAGCACAGGCAAAAGGCAAGTTTCAAAACATTATTTAAAATCTAATTGCACATTAGATTTTGTTTTCTTAATGCAAGTGTTTACTAGCCATGTCTGACCATCCTTTGCATGGGATTTTTCCAGTTTGCCTCCAGATTCAAGGTGCAATCTTCCTACATGATAATTACATGTCATCATTTCATCTGCTCTTCCTACTGACCAGCTGCTCAAGAAACACATATGAATTCCCAACTCCTATCTACTTTCTCATCTTGAAGGTTGAAAAGGAAAAAAAACTTTTCAAGGAGGTTTCTGGAGAAGAGATGGTTGTGTGGAGACCTCACAGCACCTGCCAGGGTGGTCAGGGAAGTCACAGAGGGACTCTTCATGAGGAACTGTAGTGACAGGACACGGGGCAATGGCCTCAAACTGGCAAAAGGTAGATTTAAATCAGATTTAAAGAAATTTAATTTTTTGAGGAAAAAAAATTGTTCCCTGTGAGGGTGGTGACACCTTGGCACAGGGTGCCCAGAACAGCTGTGACTGCCCCTGGATCCCTGGAAGTGTCCAAGGCCAGGCTGGAGAGGGCTTGGAGCAACCTGGGATAGTGGAAGGTGTCCCTGTCCATGACAGGGGGTGGAACAAGATGATCTTTAAGGTCCTTTCCAACCCAAACTATTCCATGATCCTATAAAATACATGAACAGATGATATAGTCTTAGAAAATACTCCTATTTAATAACAGCAGCCAAGTAAATTTAACTCTCTGGCAGAAAATACAAACTGATCTGAAGTGAGACCACATAAAAGCAGAAAACCCTGAAGTCACAACGGATCAGAACTCCACATTCCTCCCATTTTTTATAGTGGTCAGATCTAGAGAGATCTCTTGAAACAAAAACTGCAGTAGGAGAAAGAGCAGATTAGTATGTAACTTAAAAAAAAAAAAAAAATCTCTCTTATTTGGCAGCTTCCAGAACACACTAAACAAGCTTCACCAGTACTTAACAAAATTCTTAGGATCTGGCTACTTTTGGATATTGCTTTCCATGGAGGCAGAGGATTGTCTCAGCAAGAAATAGAAACTTGCTCCCTTAAAAACAGGAGAAAAAAAATAAACAACAAATACTGAGTACTTGTGAATATAACCTGTAACAGAAGACACTGGTGCTCTCTGGTACAGCCTAATTTTACAGCATACATGCACATATCCCTAAAAAAGTCAAACAGAAAGTCCTACTTCTGTTGGAGTACTCGAATTTCCATGCTAAACAAAGCATTACTCATTCCCATAAAAATAGTTTTGGGGTTTTTTTTATAGTGTCTCCCCCTTTTTAGCCTAATCTTTCCTCAAGTGAGGGTTTAGCAGGTGATATTTCCTTAAAGTAGCTCTTCCCTTTGGCTGGCACTCTGCTGAGATTGCAGACTCCTAACACAGCCCTCCAGGGCTGGTACCAACACGGCCATGTGTTTGGACTGGGAGAGCAGTGCATGAGTTTTTAATAGATTTAATAAAATACAAACCAGAGTACAGACCCTACAGTAGTTGTAACTAACTAGTTGCAATTACAAACCAAAAACCCTTAGAAGAATGCTATGCCATCAAAAGCAAAAGCTGGCCAAAACTAAAAAATTGAAAAGTCAGAGAAAGTTGAGGGAAGTAACCCTTACTTATAAAGTTGCAATAGTTCCCCAGAACTTTACTCATTCTAACAGATTTGGTAATTTTTGTCACTGACACATGACAACACCCAGCCCTGACCTAGTGACAGAGCACACCATTCTCAAATGCGTTTACAATGAATAAAGGACTGGACTTGCAGATGCTTGAAGACCTCCTATGCATGAGTAACACCTAGCCCCTACAAATCCTATTTACACCTTGACCAGGCTTTTCACAAGTCAAATATCTGCCTAGATTTTAAATATCTATCACAGAAAAAGAAAATTGCAATCCAAGCCTCTGTTCAGTGGTTCCCAGAACAAAAGGGCCCAGCACTCCAGGAATTCTCAGGTATTTTGCAGTAGGGTGGGTTTTTTTTCCCCCCTCAGTCTTGAGGCACCTGAAACAAATCTGCAAGCTGCATAATTCAAAGCTTAAAATCAGAACTCCCTGTGTTTCGGGAGAAACTTCAGCAATTAAAACACTACTGGTTTTCTAGGATTCTCTTTGTGGGTGAGAAATCACTTTTTCTACAAACTGTGTCTCAAAGCTGGTGATCATAAAAAAAAATAAAGAACAAGAGGCACTCCTGAAGAAAGAAGTCCAAGGTCAAGGTGTCCCCTTGCAACCGGCTGGTGTTCCCTGGAACTTTCAAAGCTACTTGTGCTTGACAGTGAAAGCCTGCTCCTGCAAACACCCACTGCAAACAGTGATTAACAACGACTGTTTTGTCTGCAAAGAAGTTACCAGGCTTGATCTCCTGCTCTCAGTAAGGATAAACAGGATAAGACAACATCCTGACAAGTAAAATTCTGAGCTGACTACCCCTCTAAAGGGCTGCATTTTAGGAATTTCATCCAAAAAAGCAGCACACCCTTTGCAGAAGACTATTTAAATACACTTTAGTTACACCTGTTATAAATGACACATTACCTAGAGAGGAAGGGAGAAAAAGTAAGGAAAAAAAGTGAAACAGGAAAATATCTTAAAGGTACAAGGTATTTTTCTCTGTCTTCTAAGTATCCACTCCCTGCTATTCATGTCAAACTGGTACATTCAGATTACTTCAGATTTACCACGGAATTTTCTGCAATAAAATTATGCAAGAGTGCAAGGCAATTCGCCCTGAAGGACACGGGTGCCACAAAACAATGGTTAACAAGGAGGGTGCAGTTCATCGTTAGCCAATTTCATTTAATTTGGGCATAAATCACCTTAATATAATCTAAGACAAAGGCAGCCCACACAGATGCAGACAGTGCCAGAAACAGCCCGTGCTGCTTTCTTTGAGGATATTGTTCACTGACAAAAAGAATGAGACCAAAGCTCAGGAAGGTCACCTCCACAGCCAGAGCAGCAGAAAGCTGTGGGATGCAGGCTCCATGCTGCCCTTTATTCAATGGATAGTAGGACACAGAGCATTTTAAAGGCTGAATATGCAAGAAAGCTGGCTAATCATCACACTGCCAAAAGTTAGTGGTAAGGCAATTTTCATTTTATTTACAGGTCTCAAAGTTCATCCTTATCTTTGGACTTCAACCTATTGGGGTCGAGTAAGACAGAACCTCATTACATAACACCACCCCTCTTGTGCAAAATGGTAAGAGAAAGAGGGCTGTGGAAAAGTCACTGCACTCAAGCTAGGACTGAATAGGGCTGTTTGTGTTCCAGGGCTAGTGACTCCCCAAAAGACTTCCAGGGTCAATTGTCCTGCTCCCCACCACAAGCAAGTATTGTGTTTACCTCAGCTTCTGCTATGAGCTGCATTTTCCTCGTTATCACGTGGTCGACATCAACCCAGCCTAAGGAAGGAAAGCAAATATTGAATATTTTTAGTTGCACGTCTGAAAACACAAGAAGCACAGCATACAGTAGCTCAGACACCATTTTCTCAATAGTATTTCTGACTGCCAATAGGGTCCCACTAAACAAATCAAAGCTGCAGGAAGTTCATAAACTATCACCACGTATTTTAGGATCACAGCACTGTAAGGCAGTCAACAGCTGAAAACATGCTGGATTTTATTTTTCATCAGCAACTCTGCAAATCTTTCCAAGGTCCCTAAACATATTCAGCCTTGAAGCAGCAATCAGAACGACCCTTAGAAGGTCATTTCCAAGTGCACTGATGTTTTATCAGGGTTTTATCTTAACCAGACATAAGGTTAGTTTGTCTGGGGGCCTCTACATTGCCAACAGACAAGGCAGTCAGTCACAGCTAATAGTAAAATACCATGATCAGCTCTAAGATAGGCTGAATGGCAAGTTGGACAGTTATCCTGTGTTCAAACCTGGCTATTCCCACTCCTTTTATCCCCCAGGAGAAGTGCTAGATATTAGTGTGACTGTACTCCTTAATGTGTGTCACTGTTTAAGTAAACTGTCAGGTCTAACATGCCATCAATATAATCTGACTTTTGTCATTACTAACACCATTGGCCGATATGTAAAGCCTCAAATGCCACCTTTCTTTTACATTAAAAACTACACATGTGAGATACCTCTGTGACATCAAGAGGAACAACACCCACAGGTCAGACATTTCGGACTAGCTGTGCTTTAGGACAAGCACCAGCTGATGTTTCACTTCTTCAATAACAACAGTGTTGTTACATAACAAAAGAAGATAAAGTTACTTAAAACAGAGAGTCTTGCACATGAAGGAAAATCAAGATTGAAGCAGCAGCATCCATCCCCCTAAAATACCAGAGTTGAAAAGATAGCAGCAAACCTTGCCTTGTTCATATCCTTTGGCATTTACAGCTACAGCACCACCTTACACACTGACACACAGCCAGCATTACAACTTGCATGTTTGGTTTCTAAGACAACATCACCACTTTTAGAAATAGAAGGTACTGAAATAAGATTCCAGGGAAGCATGAGCTAACAGATTTGCTGTAGAGGTGCCAAAGCTGTGCTGCTGTGAGACAAGAAAACAGACTGAGAGCACTATCAGGGTGCATAACGTGGCCTCCTTGCATGAGCAGAGCCTCTACACAAAATGCAGATTTGTCTTCAGAGCAGGAAGTGCTTCTGTGATGCTCAGGAGTCTGTCAGCCTGTTTGAGCAACTGGTTTTAAGTATTTTAGGTAGACCTGTTTCAGAAGTGACTCCAATTCCAGTGCTGGAAAAGCATACAACACAAGGAACTTTACCTTCAGTGCAGCTATGCTCAATTGTTAACGTTCATTCCCGTTCCTATCGATCAAGCAGGAATTTTGATTTTTGTCAGTCTGCAGGAATTCTGTTTTTTTTTCCTATTTGCTACACAAGCTATAGACTTAAGGACAGACCAGCAACAACTGCCTATTACTTAGCAGACTTCGAATGTAACAGCAAACACGGAAACTGCTTAACACCATTGATTTTGGCTTCATCCAAGATCCATTTTGACAAAAATAGAACTCCTGGTTGCTAAGCATCTCACCTCCGAGACAAAAAAAAAGCCCAAACATCTCAGCATTTGAGCTCATTGTGCTGTTACATTTGCAGAACAACAGCAGTTGAGAAGAATATAAGCTACCCTTGACCCACTCAGCTCATACACTTTCCTGGTCTCAAAGATTCTTCCCCAACACATTAAAAAGAATAATAAATCAAGTTGTTCCACAAGCAGCAGAACTGTATCCCCTTCAAATGTTCTCAGTGGCTCTACTCCCTCATTGTGCCATTCCACAGTTGTATTCCTGGCTCACTCCTTCTATTACTACTATGGCAAGAACAACTTTGTCCTTTCCTGCTAGAAAGCAGAACAGAGCTGCTGAGCTCAAAGAACAACTAACTTTTCCCTTCAAAAAGCCAAGAATTTGTGTCCCTTACCCAACGGCCAATCTTCAAGATAGTATCAAGTTTGCTTGAAGCCACCCAACAACAGCCAAAGAGGACAGGACACATGCCACTTAAGGAATATTGCATTATCTCCTTTTTTAAGATAAGTGAAAAGTAAAATAACTAGTTCTTTGACCATATATTTCCTGTCCAATCTTGCCTTTGAAGCCTCAGTCATTAAAAATTCACATTAAAAACTACCCAGGCATGGCTCACTTTGGAAATAAAATATCCTTGTAGACTACAAGGCCACAAAGTTGGGTATAGCTTTATATATACCAAATGTCCAGCTTTAATGGTTGTACAAGAAATGAGGAGTCTCCAACCTGCTGATGCTGTAATTGCTAAATTGGAATTTAAAGTGTCCTCCTGACACTTTATATACTAGTGTGCATGCACAGAAAATATTGGAAACAGCATCTTTTCATAGGTTTTCAAATCAAGATCTCAATGGCTTCAGTCTAAGCAACTTGTATGACAAAGTAAACTCACCTGTGAGCTTGCCTTTCTCAACACAAAATCTTCTGTAGAAGAAAGCTCACCCCAAACCAACCCATTCTGCTGTATTGCATCAGCCCATAAATCCAGCTGTGTCACAAGGCAGATACCAGAGAAAAAGCACATCATCTTTAATCACTCATCTTCTCTTGCACAAGACACCACTTATGCTCTGTCAGGTCACTGGAGAAGAGATTCATCACATGATTTTGAGTCGAAAAGGAAATGTGCACTGCAGAGAAGTCCCAAATCTTCACTTTCCTTTGACTCTGCAAATGAAGCCTGGATTCCTCTGTATCAATCTGGGATTGTAACAGCACTATAGAAAAATGGACTCAAGCCTGCACTATACAAGGAGGCACGTCTTTGCATTTAAAAGAAATTGAGATATGCCTTAAGAAGACAGAAAAGAAATATTTCAAGTAATGAGAAAGTTGTCTTGAAGACTAATATGAAATAGTGGCCAATTTCAGAGGAGGCTTAAGGAGGGCCTTGCTTTGAAAGAACTTTTTTCACAGGGAGAAGTTTTTATTTAATGGGATTGAGTTCCCTTCCCATCAACAAGGGCATTAACAAGATCTTTAGAGGACCATTCGTCTTGGGCTTGATCCTTTTAGAATGTGACTCCTCTCTACGGACTGAATTCCAAACTGGTTCAAAAGTCAGAAAAAAAAATTAATGAACAATTTAATTGTATGCTTTGTTTCCCTCTGAAAATCAAGCCAATAAAAAAAATCACCTGAAGATTGAGAAAGCTTCTTAATTGTTGAGAAGTTGAGCAACTAAAGTTTCACAAGATTGACAAAGTACTTCTTCTAAAGGATCTTCTTGTCCCTTTTTCAACCCACTCTTGCACATGTTACAGATAAGTGACATTTGAAATGGGTAGAGCAGAGAATCACTCACATGATGTTTGGGCTGCAGTTTGGGATCCAAAACCACCCAGCTTTGTTATTTCTTGATAAGACAGCTTCCCATTCAAGAGGTTAAAGCAACACAAGCAGAAGGATTTCATTACTGTCAGTCACCTGGATTTAAAGGCTCCCTCTCCAAAAACACTGAAGATGTTATCAGAAGCAATGCAATATTAAAGCCAATCTAGTGCAGGGCTACTGTAAAGAGGGGAGGAGTTCCATATTGCTACAATACAACACACATTAATAATTTGATGCTAATGAGCTCTTATTCTTACTTATGGCAATTTATTTGGCCACTCAGCAAGTACAGGCCAATTATGACTAGACTCATAGGTCTGTTTAAAGAATCCACAGGCCATAGGTCACTGCACTGCAGCTGGGCAAGTATTTAGCTTAAAAAGTCAGTTCTGCAGGGACATGGAACCCAAACAGCCTCTTCACTTGCAGGAAGGAGCACCACCATTCTCTACATTATGCTACCACGTCCACAGGTTCTTCACAAGAAACTGCTGAACCTTCACTCAACCCACAGGTTCCAAAACATGACAGCCCCTGGAATTACCAGAATCCACCTAGAGAAAACATTTTTGATTTATCTCTCAGAAACACATCCCAGATACTCAATTCAAGCAGCTTAATCCACAAGAATTTTGAAATAGTGAATGCTCATTGCTGTGAGTCATACAGCAAAGGCTAAATCTTTCCAAATTGCTCCCCACTGGAGAGCTCTCTCCTCCTCCATCTCTCTGTAGGCACACACAGTTTGTGCATCACCATGAACTTTTGCACCAGGGATGATCGATAGTAACCTCTCCACTGGAGATAACAGCCCCTTTCTAGGATTACCAATCAGGCTTACTCACACCAAACAGATATGCCACACAGCTTGTTTGCAGATCAGCCTCCAGAGACACTTCCAGTCCTTCCCTGACTTCTCAGCAAACAAGAACAGACTCCAAACCCACCCTTTTACTGCTCTGAATGGACTACCCCAGCATTTTAAAGGCATTGATGTGCACACTTATGATCCACGTCCTCTCTAGCCTTTTGAGATCTGCCCATGTAGTTTCTGACTGGTACAGTCCAACACCAATATCCCGTTAGGCAGAACAGTTTTATATTTCTCTATGCATCTTCTGCTGAAAACTAATGCAAGACTAAATGTAAGACTAATCTTATTAAGGAAGCCTGGCTTTTGACAGGGGATTATTGCCACCTAGATCATCTGCTGACTCTAAGCCAGGACCAAATTAGTTGTTTAATTACAACACTGGAGCTAATTCAAGGAAGAGAAATTAAGTATAACACTGAAGTTCAGCTACTCTATCAAAGTGAAATTGCAGGCTGAATAATTACAAGACAGAAACAAATCAAGGCACAGAAGAAATCTTCTGGCAATCTCCAAGTTATGAGTATTTCCACACTTCCATAAAATTGGGCATACCTGAGTAAAAACTATTTGATCTTAGAACCCAAACATTGAGACAGTCTTCAGAAGCACTGACGAGCCAAGAAAAAAAAAAAAAACCAACCTCAACTGTACAAATGGAAGAGTCAGACCTACTGTAGCTCAAAATCCAATACATGTATTAAAATTATTCCTCTAAGCAATTTCAGATCAGCTAATGGATTTGAGTTTTAATGAAGAAACGATTAAGAGCCCAAAAGTTTCTGTAGAAAGTTCATACACTTCTGGAAATAAGTCAGTTGGCCCTCAACACTTCAACTCAGTGTAGAAAGCAGCCTGTGTTTGCTGTAATCAGAGAGGATCAAGGTGGGTAATCACGTAAATGGTTTAGTTTTCTATGGCAATAACTGCCACAGACATACTACAATATTTACTGCCCTATGTTCTTGGCCTGGCTAGAATCCCTTAACTGCAACAAATATGCATTTTGTCTAAAATTCTTCACAATACACAGCAGTAAGTTGTTACAATACAAAAAAAGCTGTTGCCAGTCAGCAGATCATTAGCCTCACACTGCCTTTGTGCACATCAGCACTAATGCCTTAGAAACAGCTATTCAGGAGAGAATGGCCAGGACAAAAGAAAGAGAACAAACATCTATGCCTGCTTCTTCTGAGAAATTCTCCCACCTCAGCCATGAAAGTCCAACCTAGTTACACAGGCACCCTGGACTACAGGAAGAGGCCACTGTCTGCAGCTCATGAACACTTCAGCTTCATAAATCTTCAACTTTTGGGTCACAGAGCTGCTGATTCAACTCCTCTGTACAGAGGAATTCCCGATCAGAGGGATGCATCTTTCTCCCATGCCTCAAGGCATCAGATTCATGCCTCCTACCTCCCTGTGTTATTCCTGTTGCCTCCAACACTGAGCTAAGTAACACTTTGTGACACCTCTGCTTCACTGCCAGCAACCTTGGCAGGTAAGATGCACTCAGGTCTTGACTAACCAGGATTCCTCCCTGCTGTCCTTCACTGCAGTTTGTATGGGATTAAAAACACACTGCATTGTTCCAAGCCAAGACACCAGACACATGTACACTTTCAAGAGATCTGCCCCAAGATGCTCGTTTGCCACACACTCACAGTATCTCACCTGCAGTGGGGTTTTGCCACATCTCAGTTAAAATGAATGGCCTGCAAAGGCAGACACACCCACCCATCAAGTCCTAATTATCACTGCTCTATTTATTACTTACCCTTCATTCGTTACAGTTAAGGAGTTTCCACACACAAAAAGGTTACAGTGGCAGAACATTACTCCCAAGCCTAGCATCACTGGATTCCAGTAGAACCAACTCCCTGCAATTTTCTAATACAGTCCCATTTGATGCAGTTAAAATGACTGTGCCACCAACATCTTAAAATCCCAGCTCTCCAAGCAGTTTGTGGGATGGCTTTCTCTCCAATACATTTTATTTTCAATAAGAAATCTGACTTGTCCTAAACTTAAACTTGCTCCAACTTCCATTTCAGTTAAAGGAAGAACTACTGAAATAGTGATGATATCCAGAAGCGTATCAGTGAGAATTATCTCCTTGAGTCACGGGTACCAGGGTTGTGGATCTCACACTCACATGGTACATTGTGATAAACTACTTTAGCTTTTTGCTTAATCTATCTCATAAAGAGAAAGGAAACAAGCTGTAGTTTCATCTCTAGACTCCCTATCACCAGGCTGGAATGTGGCACAGCATAAACCAGGCATTACAGAGGGTCACAGAGTCCACAGGCAAAACCACTCATAGTGCCACACAACTGTCCCTGCAACCCAAGGGACAGGGCACGGCAGCAGTGATCCTTCCACAAAGCCAACTTTAAGCCACATAACTTTTAAGGTGACCACAAAACAAATGAACACAGACAACTGTTTATTGTTCAGTTTTCTGGCAGCCAAAATTGAGCCTGAATAAAAGGGAGCTGTCCTGACATGACCAAAATCCCAGAGCAGCAGAGAATCATTCTCTGTGGCATCCTACCTCCACCTGCCTGTCAGGTGGATACACTACCTTAGGCTGGTGTGTTAAAGACCATTTTCTTCCACCTTGAGAAGTCACATACTTAAAGGTTGTAAAGGAAGTGAGATGAAGTCCCAGAAAAAGCATTTACCAGGACTACTCAAAAATGTTGCCAGGAGGCATTTGCATTGTTTACAGCATTAATGAATCTCTTCCTCACGTGGCAATTAATCACTGTTTTAGATCCCTACAAGCACTGCAGTTCACAGCTCCTGAGGGAAAGCTCTGCAGGACAGTACTCCAAACAACCAATACCTGCTGAAGGGGTGCAGCTGGAACACAGGGAGCTCTACCTTCGGCTCTCACAGACCCAGAAAAACAGAAATGAAGGAGCAAAGAGACAGAGCCATGAGTTGAAAGGGCACCTTAAAGGAGATCACATGCAGCCAGAGATGGAGCCAGTAACTGAGCCACTGAGTCTCACCATTGCTTGAGTTTTGGAAGGGTCTCTCACTCTCAGGTCTCCTATGTGTTTCTTCATTCTCAGGGGTCTTGCAGTTTGCAGTGGAGCCAGACTGGCGTTTCCTTACACAGTCATCACCTGCCATGGTAAGCTAGATCAGAAAAGGAGAGAAATAATTAATGATAAAAATCTCATATATTGTTCAATAATATATTTACATAGCATTTTTTTATATTGAAGCTAAACTTTCTCCATTATGAATTCAGAGCGAGGCTAGAAGAAATTCAGTACGAACTTGAATTAGTCATTTACTGTTGATCACACTTCCTTTCCCTTACTATAAGCAGTACAGGAACAAAGTAACCAAGTAAATTCCCCTACCACAACCAAAACATCTCCCCACACCACCCTATTTTCCCTACAGACTTTATAACTACTTGAAATAACTTAGGCTTCTGCAAAATCTTTAAAATTACAAAAAACCCTCGCAATTCTTTCTGACAGCCAGGTGGACATCAAGTCTTGTTTTCTGTGAGATGTGGCAGGTTAACTTTCCGGAATCACCAGAAGTATTTGACCTGACCCAAATCCCTTCCTTGTCAAGTTCTCAGCTGTTGCTGCAGGAGCAGCTTCCTCAATAGATCCTTGTGTTGTGCTCAGTCAGACAGTTTGCGTTGCAAACCAAGGAAAAACAGGAAGAGAATCAAGTTTGAATGACACCATTTTCAATGACAAAGGTCACTGCTGGGGACTGACCTGCCAGCAGGGAACACCTGAAGCACCACATGCAAGATGAAAACAAAATTCTCAGCTAACGAGAAGTGGACAAGGAGACTCTAATTCGGTCACAAAGTGCTATCCCAGAACACTCCATAAAACTCAACTCAAGAATCTCTTGGAGATGTAGCTATAACCAGGGATAATTTGCAGATTTTTTCCAGAAAACCTCAAAGGCATGTATGTAACCACATTTTCAAGCTTGATATATTTTTTCATCTTGGCACAAACTCTGCAGCAGATGTGTTTAGCTGCTAGTGAACAGCATACGTGCACCAGCACAGATGAGCTGTTACAGACAGGCCAGGAAAACTCAGGAACTGATGAAAAAACTACTTAAGGATGGATTTCCTCAGAATAAGGAGGCTGGCAGATCTGCAAAAGGGAAATAAAACTATGACCTGAGGTTTTCAGAACTCAACTTCCTGTGTTTGTCCCTCGAGTAGAAGTCTCCTATTCTCCTTTCAGGCTACACAGCATACAGGGGAGAAACACCAGCCACCACTAAACAACAAATCAATAATTGGGTGAGTTTTCCAGCTCAAACAGACGACCAGAAGTTTAATTCTTGTCTCAAGACAGTTTTCATCTTGTTCCTCACCGGTGCAGAGTGGTTACAGTATTTTACTGAAAGGTTAACAGAAAGGAGTTAAAAATAACCAAGCTTGCGATGGGGGGGAGGAAAAGTCATGTGTAGCGTGAAATAAAACTTAAAACAATTAACTTAAAGAGTTAATAATTCAGATAGGCTAAGTTATCACAGCACAGCCTTTTCCACACCGAAACACGGAGTCTGCTAGGGGAAATCTATGAAAACAAACATTTTCCTAGTCTAGTTCCCATATGAACAGGGGCGCAGCATTACAGTACCTAAGCAATTATCAGCTTATTATCAGAGCCTAAGGAGGGCATCAGCCCTTCCCTCCCATCTCTGCTCGAACCGAAACATTAATGATCCAATGTCACGATAACTCCAAGATGCTCACCACCCTCCTCACAAGAGGAAATCGCTCCTCTCAATTACTAAACAGTAACTCCTTTCACCCCACTCTGAAGACGTCCACGATTGCAGATAAAGTTTGTAGAACAACAAACCCACTAAAAAGATTACCTAGCAGAACCTCCCTGATTTCACTGGTACCTGATTCACGGTACTCGTAAAGGGCTCAGAGACCTCGAGCTTCTTCGTCTTCCCTTTCGACAAACTGGTAATTAATTAGAAGATGCCTTGGGAGAAAAGCAATACTTTACAGGGAGTTCATCTTTGCATTTCAAAAGGCTCGGTGAGGAACAACTAAGAATCATGGAATGGTTTAGGCTGGAAGGGACCTTAAAGATCACCTAACTACAATGCCCTGCCTCCAATACTAATCACACTAGACAACAACTTTATCCCCAAAACTTTGAGTTCTCGAAAGTTTTCCTTCGACTCTTGGCCCTCGGGCATAGCACCAACTTGCAGACTCGGACCCTCGGTACCTGCAGAGCGAACCAGACAGGGACCAAAACAAAGCTAAGGTCACTCCACAAACCAAAGTTAAGGTCATCCCACAGCTCATCCGCAACGCGCACAACGCTCGGCAGGAAAATGTTTTTTATCCGAAGCCTGAGGACATCACTGGGAGCTGCCCTGAGCGCTGCCGAGGCTCCGAGCCAGCCCCTGTCCCGCTACCTCCCTCACACCCCCGCCGAGCCCCAGCCCCGAGCGGCGGCGGGAGCCACTTCCCCCGCGGGCGGGGCGGGACGGCGCGGACACGTTCCCGCGGCCGGGACGGCCGTGCAGCCCGCGGAGCGTCACCTCAGGGGCGGCCGAGCCGCTGCCGCCGCCTCCTCCACGCGTCGCCGCTCCGCTCTTGCCCGCTCCCGCCCTCTCCTCTCGCCGCGCGCGCCGCCGCCGCCGCTTCTTCCCGGGGCTCGCGCACGTCACGGCGCAGGGGGCGGGGCCGCGGCGGCGCCGCCCATTGGCAGAGGAGGCGGCCCCGCGGGGGCGGGACGGGAGGCGCGCGCCGGGGGCGGGGGGGCCTTGGGGGGGGCGCCCCCCACGTGCTCCTCACGTGCCGCCCCCCCCCCTTCCCCTCAGTTTCCCGCCTTCCCCCTCCACACCCCCTCAGGCATCAAGGTCAAGTGAGGGAAGAGAGGCGCCAAAAATGTGGTGACCCTCCGGTAAGTGTGAGGGAACATCCAAGGTTGGTAAATGCTCGGAAGTCGGAGGGGCCGTGAATAATCAAGGTTTTATCAGTAAGCTATACACTTGGTATGGAAATCGGTATGCTGGTCCCTGACCTACTATAAGAACAGTGGGTTCTGGATAAAGGGGTAGGGGGAAAAGGAAGGAGAGAGAAAGAGACTCATTAAAGAGAGAGAAAGAGAAAAACAGAGAAAGAAGGAGAGGAAAAAAGAAAGATAAAGAGATCACTGTTTCTGTCTCCGACCAAAATCCAGCTGAGGGAATGTCAGTCCTGGTTCCAGGGTGTTGATTCCAACTGTGGCCACCCAGTCCAGGTGGGCTCCGTCACCCCCACGGGCAAGGACTGTCCTCGCCCTGAGGGCTCCACACACCAGGCACAAGGAAAACTTATTTAAAGGCACCGGGGAGGACACGGAAGTCAAGGCTGTGAGGGCCCAGTGGTGTTATCTGTCCCCGTCCTTCAGTGGGAACACACGGGTTGCTCAACGAGTGCTTCCCCCGGCACCCCCTGGCTCAGCACAAATGTGTGTTCCACCCCCTGAGGTTCTTCCAAACGCTAGCCAGGGTAGGTATTTTCACAGGAAATTAAAAATGAAGTATCGCCCAATTTGAGTCGTCCCCCAAGAGCTGGTGTTTTGTGTCAAGGGGGTGTTCTCCCTCACAAATGTTACCCTGGGCAGCGGGAGCTCAGCTCACCAGTTTGGGGAAGCTGAGAAGGGGTCTGGCTGGAGAGAACTCCTTTAAGTCCCAGCTGTGCTCCACAGAGACAAAAACCAGGACAAAGACTGCTCCAGAGGGCCAAAAATGGGACAAAGGCTGGGGTTTGTACCTTGCTTTCTCTCTCTCCCCAGACAGAGGCAGGCTCGTGATGGAGGCTGAGTCACAGAACACGTCACCAGCAAACAAACTCTAGTAACCTCCTGTGAGCTGCATTTCACACTGCAAAGGGGAAAGTTTTCCCAAAGCCAGAACTTACCCAGTAATCTCTTACTGGCAAGTACACGTCTTTCCTCTTCCTTCTCATGACATCAGGGCTGTGCTATCCACGATATGTCCCCAGGTGCCCCTTGAAAGGTCACCCCAAAACAAGGTACAAAGTTACATTGGGGTAATAAAACATTTCTATCATTTTTCACCTTTCAGATCTGTTACTAAAATTTATTTTGACCAACACAAACGCACACCCCAGACACACATTTAAATTGTAGCTACTGAAACTTTTAGAAGTTGTTTTAAATATCAGTGGGGACTCTTAAGCAGAGCCACAGATTGAAAAAGTCCAAAAATTATTTATTTTGCGATGTGTGCTCATTATATTATCCCATCACTCATATTTCATGCTGCTTAATAAGAAAACTTGTAAAAATGTAAAGAAAAAAACTATAAGCTTTATCACTGCTGAAATGCAATGGGTGAGAGCAGCAGGAATTTTCACATAAATTCGTCCCTCTTCTTAAGAAGTTGACTTTAACACAGTGCTGCTTAGAGATGCTTTCAGGTCAGGCTGTATGCGATCTGTGGGGCTCTCATGCCAAAAATGCTGTGCCAGCTATTTACAATGAAGTTGTGGGGCCAGTATTGGCTGGGCAGGCAAGTGTAAACAAAATAAAAATCAAAACCCAACAAAATACTCAATGCACAATGTACCAAGATATAAGGTTCAACAACTTCTTGTTGAAACCATTCCATCCAATTAGTAAAAGCCTGGCTCTGGGTGGTAGGAAAATGAGATTCCTTTAATAGAAAGAAAAGTGCAGCTAACCTTCAGAACAAGTTTGCTTTGCTTATTTTACCCTAAAGAGGCTGTACAGAGGTGCCACCAGATTTTATCGGCAGCTCTCGACAAATCTCTCAGGCCAAAGCAGCGAGCGCAGTGTGACAAGCACTGAGCTCCCTCCTTGGGCTCTGCTTTTTTCCCTGGCAGAGCTTTTTCATTTCCTTCCTTCCCTTCTCTTTAAAGGCTGTTTAGCTGCAGCTCACCGAGAAGCGGCTGCTCTCGTTACCTTCCTCCCATTATTTACAAGCTGCTGGGAGAAGGCACTGCCGCCTCTGCTTCCTGCCACTCACGCCCATCATCTGCTATTGTCTTTCCCACTCTAAATTGCTGCATTGTTTCATCAGCGGCATCATTTACCCCGCTTGTCACCACGGTGCTTGTAATCCTGATTTTCTGGAGTGTTGTACATTAATCCTCCCGTTGCATTGCTCAATGATTGCCCAACCACAGTTGTTCCTGAGCACTCCTGGCTGAATCACCGCGTGGTTGTTCCAAGTGTTGAGGTGGGAACCTTGGCCCTAATACCCCAATTTCTTGCCTCAGCTTTCACCTGCCCAGGTGAGGATCCTTGATGGTCCCTTCCAATTCAGGACATTCTGTGTTTCCTTCTTTCCTTCTCTTTATTTCTGTGCTGGATCCTGCTACTTCCTGCCATTTTTGGCACCGCTGTAAAATAGATGTGATTAATGCTGTCTACTTTTAATTCTGTGTAACTCTAATTTATTTTCTATTTTAAGAATTTTGGTATCAGTCAGCCTAGGGAGTGAGCAGCTGTGGCTCTTTCTGATGCCTACATTTATTGACTAGGATGATTAATTCCTTTAAAACTTCTATCTTAGCTTTAGTCACTTGAGAGCCTCAATGGCTTTCACATGTGTCAGCAGATCCTAAAATTAACTGTTTAAAAGTGTGGTTTAGAATTTCCCAAAGTGCAGGCGCAATGGGAAGATCCTAATGGATAAATGAAGGAGCTCCCTCAAGTGGTGAAATGTATTATTGTTACCTGTTCCACTTAAATGTTTTCCTTTTAAAAACATTAAGAAAAGGACAGCAATGTCAGATTCAGAATGTAAAGCCAGTTATAAATGTAGCATTGAATGAGCTTCCATTTTTACATAACCAGAAATAATGGTGTGCATGTAAGACTGAGGCCAGAACTCAGTCAGGCAAGTGCTACAGTTAAAAAGGAAATAATTTAAGAAACTGTGGAGGACTTAAGCCTGATCTGATAATGCATGACTGAATTTTGGCAGGAAAGCCAAAAACTAGCTCCAGCAAATATCACATTGTTGAGGATGCCTGAAGTGCTTGTAAATCATAAAGTTTGCTTTTTAAAAACTCCAGCTCAAGCTTTCACAGTTTCTGCTATCATCATGTCAAGATTTTGTGCATAAATACCCTTGCTCCTTTTTACTCCGTGTGAGGCATAGAGTTTTCAAAATATTTGGTGCGAGAGATTCAGATCAGCAAACTTTGGAGAAAAAGCAGAAGCAGCAGCAGTTACACTCACTTTCTAAGACATGAAGCTGCTGATTTTGCTGGCAGATGAGTTAGAAAGAAATGCCCCCATCCCTCTCGGCAGAGGGCAGTGGTAACCTTACTCAGAATCACATTGCTTTTTGCTA